AAAGTTGTATTTCGTAATATTTTTCGTTCTTCTTCATTAAACATGATTTCATTTTCATACCAAAATCTATCCGAATCAACCTTATCTGAGAGAAAATAAAGAAACAAACTACAAGTAACTCTATTATAGATAATCATTAATCCTATTCCAGATGATCATAAATGACCATTAATTCATATTATTACTATAATTTAGTGCTGACGGTTCTCCTGTAAATTCCCCAACCGACTTACTCTATGGTACAAATGTAACTGCACAAACCAAAGCAACTATTAAATGCACTGATCCATTACCCAATGGAGCATATCCAATGCCTCGTTGTTATTCTGATATAATGTGTATGTATGGTGTGCAGCAAAATGATATAAATACAATTTCGAGCTATCGTTCATATAGGTCGACAAGTCACTTGGTAAAATAATTGATTATTATCTCGTTCCCTTCAATTTGATGTTTTCATTTATTCAATCTCTTTATATGTCTTACCTTCTTGGCTTAGGCTACCTTTTTTGCTCAATTTGTTTCATTCGACATTACGTCATCAAAAAACACCTTGAGTACTTATCCGATGTTTTTACCTGCTGATGATCCCTTCTATGTTCTAAATGGTTCATCCCCGAACTCTCCTCAAATCGATGTAAACTTCCTACCTGCCAATAGATCAGCTGGTAATGACGGTACAAATCCTCTTACTAGTGGAATAAATTTGGTTACTCCTTTTCTTGATTTAAATAATATCTATAGTAGTAATGATACTTTAATGTTGACTAAATTTCGTGACACTTCGAGTAAACGTGGAAAATTAAAGGTATCAATTGCTAGTAATGGTGATCAATATCCACCAAAAACTCCCTCTGGTGATTATGACTTGGGTGCTACTTCCACGCGTTCTCGCAATATATTCACTGTAGCCATCCACACAATCTGGTTACGAGAACATAACCGTATGTGTGATCAATTATATCAAATTTATCAAGATTCTTGGACGGATGATCAATATTTTCAGGAAGCTGTGAGTAATCCTATGAAATTCATCCATATTGTGTAAAATCTAATTGAGTAGAAATAGTAAAACTATTCGAAATATTTAGAGACGTTGGACTACTGCTTTTTATCAAAAAGCGGTTGCAGAAGAATATATTGGGGCTGTTCTTGGTCGTCCTCTGCCTGCATACCAAAATTATAATCCCGATCTTAAACCTGGTTTTAATTCATTTTCTTTTTTGATTTTAAAGTTCTCTGGTCATAAATTTAGCACTAAATATCATTAAACTGCTATTTGTAGGGATAGATACATTCTTCGCAACGGTTACATTTCGTTACGGACATAGTGAATTAAGGTCAATATCAATATCATATTTCCTTAAAAAAAAATTTTTTTAAGTTATAAACAGGTTCTTAATAGTTTTTTTTTTTTTTGCAATATATAGTGATCTTTATCAAATCCGAGACGATCATGGCGATGTCCTTACTAATGTTGCCTTGAACGATATTAAAGACCTTACACTCTTGGAAAATTTTGGATTGGAAAAGGTATTATTGTCGATGGTACTTCAACGTCAGGAGGATGTAGATAATTTTTTTTCAAACTCAACCAAAAAAGCAATCGGCCCTGATCAAGTCACTTATGATCTAGCATCTTTCGATTTGATAAGGTCTAGGGACCGCGGTAAGCTATCTTTTACCTTGAAAATTTTTTATAACAATATCGCTTTGCGTTTTATTAAAATTGTTGTCACTGTTATCATAGGCATTCCTTTATACAATAAAGTGAGGCAATTTTTTAATTTGCCACAGGCTCAATCATTTTCTGATATTTCCAATCGTCCTGATGTTCAAGCAAATTTAGCAAAGCTATATCCTAATGGTATTAATATGATGTGATATTGAAATTAACCATTGCGTAACACTAATTATAATAACATTAATATTAACTTTAATATATTATATTTATTGTTTTTAGTTGATAAAGTAGAGGCGTTGGTTGGTGTTATGTGTGAACCTCATTTGGATGGTGCTAATTTTGGTATGACCATGAATGCGAGCATTGTAACACAAGTATGCTTATTTATATCCTCGAACAATTTTATTATATATTATGAAATTTACTTACGATATTGACATGTTAAAAAATTATTTAAAAGTTTACAAACATTCGGGATTCGGATAGATTTTGGTATGAAAATGAAATCATGTTTAATGAAGAAGAACGAAAAATATTACGAAATACAACTTT